GAATCACAAGCTTCACCCTCCCCCCTTCCCACCCCCTCCCACTTCTGCGATCCGGACGTTTGATGCCTTCCCCCCTCCTCCCATCCCCTCCCCCCATCCTCCTGGCGCGATTGACTGTGAGGACGTTGATGCCAATGCAGCATGGCGATTCAGGCATGTTCTTGTGCCAGGAAAGGCGGGGCATTCCCAAGATCATGTGTTAAGATGGGGCCATCCACCCCCCAGACAAGAAGCTGGTGTCAGGGTCCCCTGATACATTCACTAAGCCCTCCAAGATGTCCAGCGCGAAAAGGTTGTCCACGGTGCAGGTGAGACACGTAAGCTGTTCGCGAGTCCGATGAATCCAATGGAGGTGTGCGAGATCTCGAGATCACATGACTCCGCGGAATGTTCTTGTAAAATTCCGCACGCAACCTTGATTAAAGATGAGAACATTGCACGTTTTAGGGGTTAAAAATGCAAAAGCCCATGGTTTTGGCACAATGCCAAGGAGAAGGGTTACGTCGTACGCTCAGAAGGTACTAGGATGCGTGGCCAGATTTTGACCCAGTTCCAAACTACTGCGTTTTACAGCTCGAAAAGGGTGTAGCAAACGAAGCAGCCCAGCACTGATAGTCAGGCATTTTTCTGTGTTCGCGCGTTCAGAAGCTGTATATGTCTGGCATTTTGTCCCATTACGCGTGGCGGTTTTGCATCACGGTTCCTGGGAAGGACATGGACTTCGTCCCACTGAGCGCAATGTTTCTGGTACTTGGATGCACTTGTAACACAAACGCTTTAATGGCTTGGCTTGGATGGTCTAGTAACGGGATGCTCTCGAACATGAACGTTGCTATAGTTTGGGCGAGGATGTTCTTGTAATGAGAAACTCTCGAACATGAACGTCGTTATGGTTGGGCAGGGATGCTTTCGTAATCGGATGCTGTCGAACATGAATGCAGTGTTATTGCGTGAGGGTGGCCAAAATACTGCCTTTTACAGGTTAGGATGGCTGTCGCGGAAGCCAACGTAATTAACCCCTCCCCCCCCAAAAAAAAATCAAGCCGAGCCAAATTTGACGCGATCGATGAGACCCGGGCTGTGGGAGAACTCTAGGCGTTGGGCGTACACGGAACTTTGTCAGGCATCAAGGACTGTTTAAACCCTACCATTCATGGCAACCTGACCCCAAAAGTGCGCTTGATGATGTGCTTCCAACGAAGGCTTGCTGCGCTGCAACAGAAGAACAATATGCGAGACACAAAGCAGTGAATTTTGGCCGATCCTGACCTGAGAAATTGCTTTGGATCTTGTCTTCCCTCTTCCCCCAGTGAGTTGATGATTGCTGTTTTGTTTTTGCTTCAGAGCTTGGCAGGGGTTGGCAACGACATGACACTCCGCCAAGCAATGCGCAGCAGGCGACTCGTGGGGGAGGAGCAAGTGGAGGAGGCGGGCGGGGATTCGAGAGCTCACGAAACCAGGAAGCCATGAACACGGCACTGCACGAGCTTGCCGCGTCATTCCCAGACCCACAACCTTTCCATGTTTCATGATGGGTCCCTAGGACACGCGTGAAAGCACGGATTCAGTGCATCCAAGTGCCCTGCAATTGAAACAAACGTCCACAGCCAGTATACAATACCACTTGTCGCCTGTTTCTGGCTGGGTGTCAGACCAGAAGAAGCTAGCTCTGGCAGCGCCAAATCACGAAACACTGCTAGCTGTCCCAGCTGGCATCTGGCAAAGCAGCTAGAATTTGCTTGAACCGAGTGCACAAGCTGCACAGGGGTCGCTAGCTGATTGAAAATACATTCCATGAGACTCCATGTGCCCGATCGCATCATTTGCCGCCAAACCGGCTCTCTGGCCATTCAACATCATACTGACAAGCGTCAATGCGATACGGAGCTACAAATTCAAAACCAGCTGGCCCTCTTGATGCTTGCCAGTTCTCGCAGCATCCGGCCGTTCCTACTTTTTCCATGCCACATACCGCCGCATCCCTGCTATCAAATAGGCAGACGCAACTTCTTTCCCCGCCGTGCAAACTGCGCTCTGCTTTGCGCCTCAACCCGCTGCCCGGGTGATCGGCCCTGGCATCATTGCAAGAAGGCCACCAGAATCACCGATCACCGAAGAGGAGACTTTGGGGCTCCCAGCCGTGGCCGAAGGCCCGTGAGTCGCGGTCTGACCGGGCCCGCGCCCGGCGCCTAGTCATGACAAGAAGCGGGCCAAAAGCGATGACAAAAGAGGAGAGTCTTTCATTTTGAGTCCCCTCCCCCCCTCCCCCCCCGGCCGCTGGAAGGACTCCTTGCTCCGGCGCTGGATCTTGGCGGCTGCCACCTGAGGTTTGGAGTTTAAGGAGGCTTCACAGAAAAACTGCACATCACTGCACGTCACTGCCTTTTCCAGCATGGAGAACTCGCCGTCCTCCTTCCTCAAAGAGAAAGAGACTTCTTGCCCAGGCCCTTTTGGCAAAAGAGCCGCTTTAGCTTTAGCCGCTTAAGGGACAGAAAACTCGCTCGGGGCGACTTTGGGGCTGCTGCCGGCCAGACTGGCCATGTCCAGACCCCACCTGCAGCTTAAGGCATAGCACGGCTCCCTTCCCTCAGATTGGCAGCATCACTACATGACAACTCAGCACGGCCTGAGGGTGGAGGACCTGGGATGTGCCTCCAAGCAAAGCAAAGCGGGAACAATGCATGCAGCGACGCAAGCTGCGACGCAAGCTGAGAGCTTGGCGAGCCAAGAACGTGCTGTCTCCCAGCGCCTTTTTAAACAGAGCTCTCTAAGCAAGGCCCTCCAGTTCCGTGTTCTGTAGCGCTGTGCCATGCTCTGTTTTGGCGGTGCGTCGGTTCGTGGCCTCCTGGATGTGCTTGTTCTGCCGGGCCTCCAGGGCCGCCAGCTCGGCAACATCCTGCCGAGCGATGCTTCAAACTTTCTTGAAATCTTTAGAGTAACTTTAGAGTATTGTCTTGATTCTTTTAATGGCAGAAATCTGGGGCCAGGCACCGGCTCCGTCTCCCCACCGGCCATGGCTTCCAGGACCTCCCAAGGTTGGACAGAGGCCCTTTCAGGAAGGAAGGTTGGTTCCCGAAAAAGCGCCAAGCGCAAGGGGCAAGCGGGAATCTTCGTTCTTTAAACGATCGCAGTGTCAAAGGCGCTTCTTCGCTTGTTTTGCCGCTCTTGCTTTATGACTCTATGACCGCGCCCTCAGGAAATGAGAGAGTGCTCGAGGTTCTGTTGTGGTGAAGGGCATACACACAGCGCTCACTATCCGTTGGCGTGCAGGCGTGCAAATAGAACATGCCTTAGGCTGAGGTACTCGAAAGCTCGAAAGTGCAGCGAGCAAACGGCGCCTCCAGCTCCCTGACCTTGGCCGGGGACTCTCTGATCTCTCTTTTTGTTTTCTTTCTTTCGTTTGGGCTATGGGGTGATCAGGGATCATCCCGGGCATCTCCGCCCAGCCCCTGTAGGGCTGCTGAAAAGGACTTGCCCCTCATCGCTTCACATGCACTCTTGACAGAAATTATGTACAGAGTTAAGTGAGGGAATTGCGAGCCCATGTGAAGCTTCAGTGTGGTAGGTATCCATTTTTGCCAGACACCAGTGTTTGTGACTTGGGGCCCCAACATAACAAGTTTTCTCTCTCTCTTCCTCTCTCTCGCAGCGCTCTCTTTCGCAGCTCCATAGCTGACGAATCATCCAGGGGCCCAGCGCGCTGCCTGCGCTCCTGGAGTGGTAGAAAAGTACCTTTGAAGTCATAATCGCTTGCTCATTCTTTCTTTTCTGGTCTCAGGGGATCTCAGGGGCACTGTAAGGCCCGCCGGCCACCAGCAGCCGCCTCAGCCGCCCACAGCACCCCTTCACCAATGGACAAAGATCCGAGAGCCGCGCCGCAGCACGGCGCGGACCGCCTGCACCTTCGCAGCAGGTGAGCAGGGGGCGAAATCTTTTTGGCCACGTTCGTCTCTGCTTTGTTTCCGGGGTTCCCTGCCAGTCGCACACGGCCATCTGCCCGGACGTGCAGCCTTTTGCGGGAAGTGCTGCTTGCCAGCTTAAATGCCCCAAGAAGGCTGGGGCGCCAACCCCAGCGTCCGAACATACTGCAAGTTGTACCTGGGCGTCCACTTCGTGCCCTCACGCAACGCTGCATGTTTGAGCAAAGGCGCATCGACCACATCGCCTCTGACGCGTTCATGTCCTCAAACGCTCACAGCACTCCCAAACGCTGCCCTCTCATGCAACACACGCGCTTGGACCCTGGCGATTGTGCTCCTGGAGTCCCACCGTGACTCCTAAGTAGCGACGGGCAACATCGGTAGATGCTGCAACAAGACCCCATGCAAAGCTGGCTACTTCCTGCACGGATTACCGCACAGGTTGCACCCAGAAGCCAGAACCAAGAAATCTTAGACAACCCTGCTGGGGGTTGAACGGGAATGCACTGGCCTTTCTGTGGCTGGTGTGCGCTCCTGCAGGCGCTAGCTGATGGGCGGAAGAGACGGAGAATGAGAGGATGTGAGAGGATGAGGCCGTGGCATAAGCTCTTCAACTGTTTCCTGACATCGCAGGTGCAACTTTACATGTTGTTTTGAAGGTCTCTCTCGGTCTCAGCAAGCCCCCGACATCAATGAAGTCCAGTGCTTTGGGCAGCGGCACCAGCATGGTGTTGAAGGGGTCGTAGCTGCAGGAGGGCTGCTCGTGGCTATGCTCCGCGTTAAGCTCATTAAGCTCACAAGGCGGCCAGGGCCAGGGCCTCTCCCAATTCTCCAGGCACTTGGTGATGACCTGGCATCGAAGAAACCCTCAAGACTCAGAACCTGTGGCCTACTCAAAGTTCCTTTTTGGAGCCTCCTTCAGCTCACTGCCACGGCCTTAGCAAAGGAAAGGGATCCCAAGCCTTCATTTGAAGTCCTTTCCTGGGGCCAAGGGGCTCTCTTCGAAGCCTTCAAATATGACAGCAATGAAAAGGTTCAGGATCACGAAGCTCACGAAGATGGTGTACCTTTCAAGCCACGCAGACCTGCACCAACCAGATTGAATCGCTGCTTGGTCGGAACACGAGATGAAGTAGATGTAAGCGAAGGCCGTGCCGCACTCCGTGGGGTCATCCACCTCCGAAGGGCAAGAAGGGCAAGGCGAACCCCCCCCCACAAAATTCTATCCACGTCCTTTTTAAGAAAATTATGACCGTGTCGATGAACTGTTAAGTGAAACAGCTACAGACTGAGCTTCGGCGCCAAGCCGTCCCCGTTCAGGTCCAGTTCTGCAAAGTTGCGGCTCTCCAGGTCCAGTTCCTGGTCAAATCAACGGGATCAACGGCAGAGTGTAGGGTAGACTCACAGGACTACAAGGTCAGAGAATTCCTGCAGCAGAATGCCCAGCGCAGAATGAGAGCAGAGTTGATGGAACCGGGGTCCCAGCGCTACACTTTTTCTCCAGGATGCCTCGGCTGCAAGTAGCAGGGCAGGGCACATGGCAGTTGAACATCAGCCGCGCGCTCTCATAGTACCACTGTGACTTGGTGAGGTCGTGCATGATCTCATTGAAGCCTTCTCCCATGTGCCGTGGCCTCTCTGCTAGTGACGGTGAAGCAGATGGTCCTTCGCCCGTCATCGAGCGGATCAGCAGCGAGACTGCCTGGAAGTAAAATCCAGCATCTCAGAGATCCCAGAGGAGCGACATGGAATGACACAGAGCCTGGAAGAAGCTGCGGAAGTTGGTCTGAGGGCCTCGAATTGCGGGTGTGGCAAGGAAGGGAAGGCTTATCAGTATATTGCCGGGCCACCATAGATACCTGCACCTGTATAGGCCACCTCGCTCAGCATGGTTGTGCTGCACTCCAAGATTGAGCTCCATCCTGCCTTGGCAAAGAGGCTCACCCCAAGGACCGCGTAGAGGTAGAGCAGCAAGACCATCACCTGCAAAGACGTGCAGCAGAAATCACTTCCTGAGAGCTCCTCAAAATGGTGCAGAACTCAGAGCATAGCTAGGCCCACATTAAGCAGCTTTGGCACGGACAGCGCCTGGAAGGAGTAGAGAGAATTGGCCCCTACCCGAATTGCCCGAATGCGCTGACATTGTCTCAGTGGTGGACGAAGGCCAGCAAAAGCTTGTTGAGGCCTGATCGAGATGCAGAAAAGCTCTTAAACGGGAGAGGTTTGAAACACTTGGGGCCTTTCAGGAACCGCACCAAGCGAAAGAGCCGGGCAACCCGGAAGATGCCTCTTCAAGGAGCTGAAAATCTTCAGCTGCCGTTTTACTTACGAGCCCGGGACGCAAGGCGCTGACCAGCGCACTGAGGTTCACCTCTTAACTTACACGCTAACACCTTGAGCTGAAAGAAAGCACTCTGACTTCTGAAAGCGCGGCCGTACCATTCACCGTGATGGACGCCTCAAGAATCGCAACCACGTCGCTCGTCACCACCTGAGGAGGCTGCTAGTGCGCAAGAGCGGGCTCAGGCTCACGCTTAATCTGTGCTTGCTGAAGCGCGCAAAAGAAGTCGAAGATGTTCCAGTACTCGCGGAAGTAGTTGCAGTGCAGAGCCTCTGCTCGGGCCCTCAACCCGGAATCCCGAAGCAAAGATGACATGCTCAAGCCAGGCGGCACTCAGCTTCAGAAAGAACTCCACATGGAAGATCACTGTGAACACGAAGCCACAGGTGTCTGGCCATGGAGCTCTGCTTACAGAGCCCTAATTCACTCAACTACATAACATTCATAACCCTATAATTATCCCTAAATGATTTGGGTTTTTGGGAGGGCCGAGGCGCTCAGAAAGACCTCCAAGCTCTCATCCCTCGGCTGCCAGACCTGAGGCTACGACGCCCCCACTTTCCCCTCCCGACTGACCAGTGGGGTCCCCCTGCAGGCATTTGGGATTTTGGGTTTCTAGGCAAATGCCAGAACAGGCAATCAGAATTAGGAGCGGGTGGGTCTGATGATGACATGATTCTGGTCTATAGGTACCGCTGTGCAGGTCGTGCTCGACAGGTTCTACGGGAGCCCAAAACTCGAAGTGTCTTAAGAAAGGGCCTCAAAGGGGATACTGCTGGTTTGGAATCTCACTTGAGGCCGGAGCCATCATCAGCACGCAGAGCTGCATCACGATGCAGGCCATGATGAAATTCTCAAAGGCACTTGAAGTGATAATCCTGCAGACCACGCAGTATGCTGATGATATTTGGACTCTGCACGGACTATCAAGACTGTCGTCCCTTTGAAATCCCAATCTGGGGTCAAAACTTATTCATAAAGGCGAAGATGAACCTAAGGCCCTCGGCCAAGCCCTCCTGAAGCGGTGCTGCCGCGAGGGGCCCAGCCTCAGCTAAAACCACTGGGCATACTTGGCATCTTCAGTGTTTGAGGTTTTAAGGGCTTAGATCTAAGCTTTTTAGGGTCTAGGCTTTGGAGGTTTTAATTTTGGCTTAAGCTTTTGGGCCCAGGCTTCAACATTCAAGGACTTCAAGTGTGGCTCCTTCAAGAAATGGGGCTTGAGTTCCAAACCTTTGGGCCGTAGAGGGTTGGTAGGGCTTTGGAGGTTTGACATTGTGGGCTTGTGACTTGACCTTCTGGTCCAGTGCGACTTGTCTAAATCCTGCGGTCCACCTGTCCACCCAGAAATGAAAACTAACTCTCATGTTTTAGGGCAAGGGCAAGGGTGAGGGAAGCACGCTCTTCACGTCTTGGGATGCTTTTGATGAGGGTCTAGGATTTTGGGTTGTTTGAGGTTTAGGGTTTGGTATTGTTTTGTGTTCAGGGTTTGGGGTTAATCAATTTAAGCCCAGGTTTGGAGGAATGAGGGCTTGCGCGCCGGTGTTTCTGAATGAGGCGTTTGGGAACCCAGGGTTGTTGAGGATTTAATGCTTGGGGCTGTTTAGCCTTCCTAGGCTTGGATTTAAGGGTGTCTTTAGGGTAGCGTAAGTGTTGGGATTTTTGAAGAGTCTGGCGTTTAGGGTTGTTCAGCCTTTGCGGTTTGTGGTTAGGGTTGAGGTTTGGGCTTGTTTAGGGCTAACGGCTTGTGACTGTTCAGGGTTCAGGGTTTGGAGTTGTTCAAGATCTAGGGTTGAGCTTTAGCTGTGTAGGTTAGGGTTTTGGGTGCAGGGGTCGGGATGTCTTCTGAAGCGCTTGGTATGGTTGTGTTTAGGGTTTAGCTTGCTTAGGTTCGTTTGGGGTCCTTGCGTGCTTAGGGTTCCTTGCAGGGTTGCTAGGGGGTTTGGTTTCAGAGTTTAGGGGTTGAATTATTTTGGTTCGGCTTTGGGACTCGGGGTAGTTCAGGGTGGAATGCGTTAGTGTTGCTTAGGCGTTTACGAATGGTTCAGGTGTGATGTTGTTCTGTTTCAACATCCAACGGAGTGAAAGTACTCTCAACGCTGTCTCCCAACTCAGCGTCTTTTGAACTGGCCATAAATAGTGCATGTACAGAAGCCGTGGAGGGTACGAACATATGGCTACAAGAATCTGTTCTAGAACAATGTGCCGAGGAGCTGATCCACATTGACCTGTGTGAAGAAGCTACGTCGCAGGTAGAGAGCCTGCAGTCTTGCTGAGGGTTAGATGGGCCCAGTGCTTGAAATCATCAAGATCGAATAGTTGCGTGAAGACTCTTGGCACGGTAGACTCACCGGTGGATTCTGTGGGAATGATATGTGATGGCGTTCTTCTCGTTCAGGCGTTAAAAAAACCTTGTTGAATCTGTTTTTCTCAACTTGCTTTCACATGCCACTGCCTTCATCTGCGTCATCCACGCAGCCTGGAGGCATGAGCACTTCTCAGGGTCACCACTCAGGAGAAGCCCTGGCTACAGGGATGCTCTCGAAACTCCAATCCCGGAGCAAGGGTGGGACTTCTGACTTCTCCAGGTATGCGATGCTGCATATCTCACTAGTCAACAGCAGTTGATAGCATCATCATGCATCATCAAATGCAGTTGTGGCTTACTCAAAGCAATCGGACCTGCGTCTCAGTCACCAGGACCTCGCAGCAAGCGAGTTGAGAGGTGATATGGCTCTGCCGCTTTGGGGCTCTCGGCGCAGCTGGCGTCGCTGGCGCTCTTCTGCTTGTTGTAGTTGTCGATGATCACGCCTGCAAATCACATGCTGATGCCAGGGGCAGGGTCGAGAAGAACCGCATCCCGGGGCCCCGCGCCCACACAGAGGTTCAGCACGAAGAAGCTGCCTGACAAAACAACTCCCTGCAGCTCTCTGCCCTTAAGGAGGTACCTCCTAAGAACGCCTAGCGCTCAGTAGCCCTTATTAGAAAGGAGTGCCAAACCGGATTTTAGTTGTGGGTCGTGCATCCAACCCACAATTGCCATAACCTCTACAAGGTTGCAATGCACGTCCCCCTTCCCTGCAGAAGTCCAGAATTGCGCCTATCAGCATGAAGGCCACGAACAGAAGGGAGCCTCCAGGAAATGCGGGTCACTATTGACCATGTGAAGCCTCTCCCGGCCTATGAACTCATTGGCATCTCGCCTTTCAGATCTGAATTTTTTTATGCTAACAACAATGAAACAAGCGGGTATAGGTGGTGTTGCAAGTTCTCGAGATGATTGACTGATTGATTGATGGATCTATCTTCTTGGGAGGCGCCTTATCCATTAGATGACAAGGCATCCTCTTACTTTTGGGGCTCGCGGTCCTTGGCTGCAGGTAAGGCCCTCGGCTGTCCACTGCAGCCAACATCACGTCCACCCAGCCTGTCAAGTGTTACGCATAAGATTGACCTCTGACCCTCTCCGCAGAAAGTCACACAACAGGCGGTTGTAGCATTTCTTGCCTACATGTTAAGGATCCAATCATACAAACCGTCCCTTCATTGGGCCTTAAATTCTGTAAATACTACCTACTTTGGGCTATTTGGACTTTTGGGAAGAGGGTGATCATATTCGTGCTTGCTGCCTTCAGTGGTACTGATCTCAAAGAGCGAGATCGTGCCCTCAGCGGCCACAAAGGATGCCACCCTAAGCTTAAATCTGCAGCTTTCTCCAACTGTTGCGCTAATTTGCGCCCAACAACGTCAAAGTGCATACCTCCTCGCTTTACTCCCATCTAAGCTCAGGAGCCACCAAGAGGTTGTCGAAGTTCTGATTCATGTTCACCCACTTTCCGCCCTGCTCTGTGCAGAGCGCCGCGTCCTCCGTGGATCTGAACGAGGCTTGATAGCAACAAGCAGTGCGGTGCGCCTTGATCAGACCCCAGCAATGGTCGCGGCACATGCAGGCCGCCACGCACTGCTCCTGGCCTCAAGTGAAGATAAGCGCTGGATATGGAGGAAGCGACTATAGGAGGCACACAGGGCTCTCAAGCAAGCGGCACGTGGCTTCCGCAGCCTGCCCTGCCTGGCCAGAGACGCTTCAATGCGAACTAATTCAAGCAGTGAAGGGCACCTGGCTGCAGAAGTACTCGTGCCCAGCGCAGGACTTTGTGCAGGCTGTGCGCCGGGACGCGTCTTCGGAGCAGAAGGCAGCGCTGCAATCGCTGCAGCGCATCACGTGATAGCCCCAGGGCTGCGAGGAGTTCTGGCCTCAACAACACCCCGTTGTGCCACTGTGCTGCTCTTCTTCTGTTTGTAGTCCATGCTTTAGCATTGCTTTGGCTGGAGCAAGAGGCATGGCTGGCGCCCTCGCAGTGGACCTCCAGCGCTTTGGCACACTCTTCGACCCAGTCAAAATGAAGGAGAAGGAAATGTAAGCTACAATGCAAGAGTTATACTTCATTTGTCCAACACCAAAATATCATGCAATAATTCTCACTCTCTTTTCCATCAATTAATTCCTACAGTTTGAGTCGAAAGCTCCAGCCTCGCAGATCGGGGTGTCTTCGGAGGGCCTCTGCCATGGCGAGCCCAGGCTACCACCTAATCAAGCAAAGAAAATTCAAAGGACTATATGCGGGTTTCCCAAAATTGGAGGTATTTTTGGAGGGTCCCCATAGTAAGGACTATATAGCATTGTTGGGGATTCTATATTGGGGTCCCCCTATTTAGAGAAACTACCATATGAGCTACGGTCTGCACTAACCCCTCTCTAATGGCTTGTCCCCATATTACCCCTTGAAGGCGTTTAGACTGTAGCTCATATGGGCTCTAATTGAAAAGATCATCGACCTGTCTTCCACAAAGAGTGGAAAAAAAGATGGAATCTATTGCATTCGGGCTTGGATGTGCTTTTCCATCAAAGTTTCTGAAGCTTCTGTGCTGTCTTGGGGGCCCAGCAGCCCAGATCTGGTTGCTGCCTCATTGGAGCGGCTTTTTTCCAGGCCCAGACTTCCCCTAGAATCTAGGAGCTACTATAATAAGGAAATGCGGCAGGGATTCTGGGGTACTACCAGGCTCCAAAGAACGGGATCCATCTTGAAATGGACAAGGGCCTCACCCCCTGATTTCTCCAAAGAATCTTCAAGCTAAAGCTTGGTGCCAGACACCAGGGATGGCAAGGACCTGCGATGCTCCATTAGGGAAAGGATACCTGATACGGATTCTACAGACCTATAGACGATACTGTAGCACTGTAGCCAGCAGCCCCACACTTCCACGTGATTTGTATCTTCGGGTCTATACCATTGGGCACGTATCTGTCTATATGCCTGGTACGGAGGGAATCCTGTTCAGGAAGTCCTCAGCTGCGGGCTCAGAGACATTGACATCTGGCACACAGAGCGGAGTGGCCCCCAGGCCTTGCGCTTCAAGAATTAACAAGAAGAATGATAAGGATACCTACTTCTGAGGCAAAAAAATTGGAAACCTCCGAATTGCAAGTAGCAGTGGTGCAATGGCGCAGTGGTGCAGTGGTGGTAGTGGTTGTTTGGGAACTAATAATGCAAATGTATTTCCGAAGGCGTGCTCTTGGGCTTCTGGCTCTGGAAGGCGTGGTCCTCAAGCCTTAGCTTACACGCTAGTCTCAAAGGGCTATCTACGAAGATCGCGGAAGCTACTTTGGACTTGTGCAATGATATTGAACCATCTTGCAGCGAGATTCGAGAAACGGACCTGTCTTCAAAAAGACCAAGCAGCGTCTTGTCCTTGCAGGAGTGGTAAGAGCCCTTGAGGTTGCCAACAGCCAGCCTCAGTACTGAGGAGCTCTCAGGATGACCCGGGGCCTCACCCCGTCACCCAGGGGCCCGGCAGGCCAAAGATGAGGAAGAAGATTGAGCTGAAAACCTGAGAACCACAAAAGACGAGCCTGTCTTCTTCTGGCTTTGGGGGCCATCTGTACCCTATCCCTAAATCTCTTTTTCTAAATTACGTCTCTGGCTTCGCTGTCGCCTTTGCATCACGCTGGGAGCTGGGCGAGGAGGTTTCGAAGCTCAGGCACCGATGCCAGGATGGTCTTCACTACCACCTGGGAGTCTGGGAGCTAGGACCTGGGCTAAGGGGACTAAGGGTTGGCACTTGGGATTTGGATCCAAGGCACGGAAGAAAGAATCGAGAATTTTGGATCTAGGGTTCAGAGGCTTCGATTCCGCAACATTGTGGGCCCGCGCAAGCTCCCTGTAAGATCACCTTCAAGAAGTCAACCAAATGCCAAATATGCCAAGTGTGCCTTCAGGTTCTTGTTCCGGGAGATGAGCCGCAGGGGCCGGAGCATCCTGGAAAGGAACATCTATCGACCCCGGGAAGGGGAAACGACCTTTTCTGCCACACATGCCGGTGATGCAGCTTAAAAGGTTTAGATGTACGTAGGGATTCAGGAAAATGTGGGACTCCTACTGTATTTTGAAGCCGTCAAGGTTGTTAAGACTTGTATTCCTATGCAGCCGAGGCCTCACCACACGGAAGATCTTCATCACTGCAATGACCTCTGCTTTTCCAATCGGGATGTTGTTATCGAATTCCAGGTTTGCAAGTATGGAGCATTCACAGCCTGCAAATCTGCACGTACCTCCGTACCTCCGTACCTCATTCGGATTCCCCTGCAAATGTGAAGAAGTAGGGTTCATCTGTTCTCAGTGATCACTACTGCTATTATGATTGTTATTACCGTGAATCCTCCTGTGGCTCAGAGACCCCTGCTCCGCCGTTGGTGCCCCGCAAGAACCAGGTCTGTATGGCGTCCAGCACTGACCTTGCATACATGGGGGTTTCCCAAAATTAAGGCACCCTTTTTGGGGGTCCCTATGATAAGGACTATACTTTTCTGGGGTCCATATTGATGGGAAAAACTGCAAACACTGAGATACTGCTACTGACTTCTGAGGTGGGCCTCAAGGCTCTAAGGGCCCTGCACGATGACAATTACAAAGTCCATGCAGTTTTCAAAGGAGCGCAGGTAAGCCCGGGTGTCAGGGTCCTCGGTGATGGCTGAGGCTGCTTCGGGAGGGTTTGGATCACTTCTGAAGGCACCCGCCGGGTTGCAAACGACTCCAAGGGCGATCATCTTCACCACCAGCTCGAAGGCGAAGATGCACTGAGTGACTGAGTGACTTTAGCTTCGAGAAGCTCTCTTTCCCAAGGCATGCATCCGCATGCGTGAGGAGCTGGCTGTGAAGACTGTGCTAAGCACCTCCAGAACCTGCTGACCAGCTGAACAACACAGCTGCTCACAGGTGTTTTTGCCTTGTCCTTACCTGGACCTGCAAGCTGCTTGGGTCCAGCAGCGGATTCTCGAACTTGGCGCAGAAAAACCACAGCCGCCAGAGGTCGTGTGACTTTCCTACTCCTGGATGCTTCTGCGATCGCGACGGCCATGAGCACGGAAGAGAGGGCGATGAAGACCTCAGGTCGGAGCAGTGAATAGATCTGGAAACAAACAGCAACGCCACTCCTGCAAAGGGCTCCTGCTATGATGACTTGGTCGAAGCGTGGATGCCTCACTGACGGCTTCCGTCTCCAGCGCTAGTGAACTGCCAGACATTGCTTTGCACTCAGCACTCTGAGGGACTCTGAGGGACTTGGCTTGATCAAGGAGAGGCAGGCTTTGCGCAGCTCGTTCTCCTGCGATGCATCATGGATCAGGGCAAAACTGAACGCAGGACTGGGTGCCCACCCTCGAGAAGACCAAGCAGGAGCGGTCCCCGCAACGAGTAGCGCACCTGTCTCCAGGATTCTTGAGGGCCTGGATGATAAAACCCACATGCTGCTAAGCCAGCCAGCCACACGCCGTCTCCCTCTCCTGGCAGGCAAAAGCAATGCAAGAGCAATGCAAAAGCAATGCAAGAGCACGGGTTCCTGCAGTTCCAGCCGAGTTCCTTTGCCCTTTTCCCCGCCTGCATGTCAAAACGTGCGGTCAAGGCTGACATCCGTGTCCGGCGCGTGGCCTTGGCAAAGGGAACTCGGCTGAACTCTAAAGACGACTCTAACAGAACACACGAAGAAGACTCTGAGGAAGACTCTGAGGGACTTAGACTCTCAGTGGCTTTGACCTCTGAGACCCTGGCCGAGCGCGGCGTAGCCTCGGCTCAGACAAGCAAAGGACTCAGCCGCCGGTCGCTGCTTCAGCTTCGCAGCATGGGGCCGTGGAGATCCTGCACAGCTTTTCGCGGCATCATGCGAATCTTGGTACAGCCAACGAAAGCAAGAGTGCCGTGAGAGTAGGTGAGCCTGGCACAACGGACATCGGCCCATTGGGGCTTTCTGGGGCCTGTCCAACAAAAATCTTGGCAACTTGGCTTTGGTCAAGTCACCCTGTGCCTCCCAGGCCAGGCGCGGGCCTGCACAACTGCGGCTGCAAAGCAGGCAAGTTCGATAGCTGACGGCCAAAAACGGTGGAAACCTTCCACCATCGCCAGCTCGCGCGCCTGCGGGGTTCTCGTCTTCTGGAGCGATGACCTCCCCCTCCAGATCCGACTCCGTCTCCATGGCCTTTGAAGGAAAGCGGAAAACTCTCATTTTCCTTATTCTGGATCCATTTCGGATCTCATCCTCTGACCTTGCACGCTCCCAAAGGTTCAGACCCTCAGGAGCGTCCGCTTGCTGGCCAGGGCAGCATGCAGCTTCGAGCGTTGCTCGTCGAAGTTGCTCATGAGGATGGCCAAGAAGAGGTTCAGGATCACCTCTAGGGAATTTGAAGGAATGAGGTAATTTTGTTCTGGCTCTTCATTCTCAATCCATGGTTGGGATGATCCACTAACCCGCAACAAGTCGCGAAGTTCCCGAAAATGACCACCTCGGTCATAGTGGGCACTGGAAGGGGCAGAGGCTGAAGCTTTCCCATCATCTAAGATAGCAGCCAGCAGGAAGAACCAAAGAGCCATCCTGTAAAGAATGGAGATTGTGCCCTTTGCGCTTTTGTCATGACTTGGCCCGACTTGGATACTTGAAAATAGAGGCACCCTAGCTATCCCTTTGATAAGCTGGGACCCAGACCAGCCCGTTGCCCTCATTCCGTCGTACATCACGGTATTCCAGTTCTCGCCTTGCCAAGGAATGGAAGCTCGAGAGAGGCGCGCAGAAAAGTGGCGATTTTTTTTCATGGTCACGAATATTTGTATATGTATGTGGAGCAGAACATGGATACGCTCCGTCTGACTGCTATCTCTGCATTTCCCCACGCAGTGCGATGCTTGTCGCGGTCGTTTATACCAGCAATGTTGTCAATTTGGTACCTGATCCTGACTCCTACCAGGAGTCCTCACCTCTTCCCCCTCAGAAATTCACTTACATTTGCTTTCCGGACAACCCCTTCAGCACCAGCAAGTTTGCTGCCTGTGAGGATCTGGAAGATGGTGATGAAGCTCCAAAGGAAGGTGTCGAAGTGCGCCCTGGGAACCTCACTCCGTAGCCGAGCATGTACCAGCCCCATGTAAACGAGAGTGTTCGTAAACAATAGCAACCCCTCTACATGTGCCATAATCTTAGATTTCAGTAGTGTCAGAAGTTTAGCACGCCACCCTACAATCCCTATAGCCTATATATAGCCTATGGCATCTGAATTCAATCCCTCTACTTCACATTTGCATTTACCAGGAAGGGGGAGCAGGCCGGAAACCTCCCGAAATCGAATCTGGGATTCCTGGCGCACACAGGCTTGTCTCCAGGGCCCATAGGACAGCGAGCTCGGTAGTCCTCACGCGAAAGCCGCCAAAACGGTGCTAGCCGTAGCCTTTCTAAGTCAACTAAATGCTGCATGTAAAATTTGCGTGCCGATGTGAGGACTTTGGCAAACTTTCAAAAATCCAAAAATGACTGCATGTCGTCAGTTTGCGCATTATTGTCGCAAAAATCCAACAATGCCTCGGCCGCGTTTGATGTTTTTCCAAATTCTCGCAAAAAGATTGTAGATTTTCGCACAAATGTGCAAATGTTCGCAGGAAAAATTGGCAGATTTTACCACAAATCAGCAAGTTTTCGCATACTTTGGTAGCTTTTCGCAGGAATTTGTAAATTTTTGCAAGGAAGTGCAATTTTCGCAATTAATCGGCAGATTTCTGGAAAATCGCAGAAGTGGTTCATTTTGCAGATGCTATTCCTCGAGCCAGAAATCGAACATTTTGGAATTTTCGCCCAAAATCCAATTCAAGAATCAATGGCTTTCGCATTTCCGTGTTTTCGTCATTCGAGGACTCTACTAAAGTAAGCAGTCCAAACTTGCAGTACAAGGGTTTGACGGTACCCTTTAACCACAAGTTCACACACCGCTCAAGCTAAGTTTTATGCCTCGCTTGAGCTCGAAGGGGCTGCATGATGTACCTCAATGCACATGGCACATGGCTTAGGAAGAGGCTATACATCCTAAACCCTTCCATGGCCAGTTCCTTTAGGATCTGGTCACCTCTTGGGATGCAATGGTGGGAGCAAAACTCAACTACCACAATTTCCACAAGCAGTATACCCACAACGCTGCGCTTCCTGCATGGAAACCTCTACAATGCTCTGGGGATTAGCCGTTCGGGCCTTTCGCACGAAGGCACGCACTTCGAGCTGCATCATCTGGAGTTGGTCCATTCTCCTTTGATCTTCTTCACGTCGCATATTGATTTCTTCCCTGCGACCTCTTGGGCGCAGTCCTTCCGCAGTGTGAGCATCAGGTGTGGTTCCTGAACAACGCGGTGTGCTTACCGCAGCTCTTCTCTTAGGTGCGGGGCTGTGAAGGTGCGTTCCTTCGATGCGCTCGCCTCCAAACTCAGGCGGTCCTATCCTTGGTAGGACCTTCACCTCATACTCCGAGGGCTTCCTTTTCACCCGATGCCAGGAAGTCATCTCCATGGCAGCACACCATAAGGTCGTGCTCAGGGTGATAGAAGAGTCCTAGCACTGACGCCACTTCCAAATTTCCATGCTTCTTTTTCGTCTTGAGAATCTTGAGAGCCCATTGCTTTGATGCTTCCCTTGCGCCGTTCATTGCCGTGAGCAAATACCACAAGTGACCCTGGTCAAGGTCCTTTGGAGGCACAACTGCAATCTTTCCTGTTGCGTCAGCGTGAAAGAAGGCAACCGAAGCATCACTATGAGATTTCTGTTCTCCCGGGCTCCTGGCCTCTTTGTTGCCGCGCGCGCCAACACCATCCTGTGAGATGTCAGCGGTAGTGTTCCTGAAGCAACATCAGATTCACATTCACCTCCTGCGCCACGCACCGGCTTCTGACCCCGCGCGGGTCGTCTGGCAGAGGTTTCCAACCATCTACCCAGCGGCTTCTGACAACCTTCAGGCCCTGCTGCTTGGCTTGAGCCCAGCTGATATCCTTCTTGACATTGTGCTCTAGCATCTTGTCAAGTTCACGTCCCCTGGCCTTCTTGACTTTGTCTAAGGGCAAGGCTTCACCAGTCCTTTCATTAAAGGCGCCATGTTCAAGCAGTCCATCATCGGGATAGGCTGCCAAGGGCTCTGCCTGCCTCACGCATTGCGGGCAGTGCGCCAATGCCTTGCCGTCAGCCTTAGACTCGTCAGCCGCTTCTTCAACAAGAGTCTCTGCAGCTCTTTTCGTTCCTTGCTGCTGCTCCTTTCTCCGTTCTTTGGCCTTGTCAGCCAGCAGTTGCTAGAGACCAGCGAGGGGCTTGAAATCAGGAGCGGTTCCTCCCGCTTCCTGTCCTGCACTTAAGCCCCGCACCAGGCTCCTCAGCAGGTGGTTCAGCAACTACCCCCTCCATGGCCTGAGCCTCTCTGCGGTATAGTTTGCTGAACCTTGCCTTGCACTCTGGGCTGCGCGGCTTCAGAACAGCCAGGGCACCCTGGTGTCTGATCTGGCAATCTAAGGTGATGTAGGCTGACTTTCGCTTAGGCCCATCAGTTATCACCAGTGGCTTTGTTGTTTGACGGAACAACCAGAGCCTTCCCCTTAAACTGCCATGGTGTACCTGTGATTGCTTCCAGCCTATGTTTTTTCCATCGCCCCTTCGCCAAATCGACCGGCACTTCCTAATTTCTTGCGATGTTCTTTCATAGGGCGTCATCCCATCAGTTTTGACTAGGAAGGGCGATCAACCACCCACTACGTCTCACCACCCAAGGGTATACCTCACCCTCAGTTTTGAGCGCGCACCAGCGTGTGTGCTTGCCTGGCCACCTCAAGGATGGCTCTTTCTGCTGCGCTATTTGTCCCGCCGTGCGGTTCCTTTGGCGCGTGCTGCACTTGCATTTCTGTCCCTGCTTTTTTGGCCACAGCATCGACCAATGCCCTGATAGCAGGTTCCCCATCTGACATGAGGATGACCTTTTGCCGCCCCGTGAACTTAAGGCCACCACGGTATGAACCACGTAGTAGTTGTTAACGTCCTTTGTGACCACACTTGAAAACGTGGCACCCGTCTTCCGGTCAACCACGACCGACGCTGGCACTGCGCCATCTTCAGAATCAACCGGCTCCTTGAGACCTTGAGGGCCGCCCCGGTTTTGGGCAAATCGCCCTTCAGCGCCTTGCCCAAAAACCCAATAGCCCATGCCAAACCTTGGAACTTCACCCCGGCACTTCTTCGCTTCCCTGAGAGGATGCGAATCTTCATGGGACTTTCCGGCGTGGTCGCACCAGGAACGGGAGGGATGCGCGTCATCATGCTCTGAAACCATGTCCGGAATCTTCTTGGCCTAGGTCTTCCTTTGAACCTCCAAATCCTCTTCAGTCTTCAGGTGGTTCACCCAACGCAGGTCTTTGAGCAGCTGGATCTTGCCTGAACCTGATCGTAATTCCTTAGGTGGCTCACCCAACGCGGGACTTTCCGCAGTTGGATCTTCAGTGAGGCGCAAGGCCTCTGCTGGCACAACCTTCTTTGCAGCCTTGGTGGCTGCAAGCACTTCTGGCTTTGGATCTTCCAAGCTGCCTGGTTTTACAAGCAACCAATACACACCATGTTGATGGTCTCAGTGTAGCCCAGTGCCCTTCTTCATGATGGGCATTCTTTTCAAGAATGAGGCACTGCGTGTCTGGGCCGATCACTGTCCATGTCTTGCTTACAGCCAAACCGGCTAAGAGGACTGACAAGCTCACCCTCTCTAACTCAACATTATCAACTGAGAATGCTTGACCATCCGTGGTTTTCATGTTTGCTTTTCATCCTCTGGCCCACCGGCCACTGTGACCATCCCAGCTCCCGTGGGGCCACCCGCTGTTTGCGCCAAAGTGTCAAACCCTTTAGTACATGAAATGTGACCCTGCCCCTGCCAAAACATCCCTGAAAACCTGTGTCCTGGGCTCATCTGGCACCGTTACGGCTGCCACGAAGGCCTTTTCCGCTTCTTGGGCCAAGGCTGGGGTCGCTGAAAGGGGTTCAGGTTCCTCAGCGGGTCCAGCCGCATGAGGCTTGCGGCCCTTGCCACCTTTCCCTTCTCATTTTTCTGTGATGTTCTTTTTACACTTGGCCTTTGCGCAGCCTTTCTTTTTACAACAGCAGCAATATATTTCCTTGCTGGTACTGCTGGGGCTGTTTGGGGTCTTGGGTTCGTGGTTCTTGCCCTTGCCCTTGCCCTTCTCTTCTCCTTTCGCGCCGCCTTTTTCCTTCCCTTTGTTCGGGTTCTTCGGCTGCCACTTTGGAGCAGAAGCGGTGGTATCGATTGGCAGCCAACACTCTGCTGGTCCTGGCCACCTCCAGCAGCTGGTCTTTCAGCAGCTGGTACGTTTTCAGCTTTGCCGAGTTTCGTACCACATGCTACTTCAAGGAATCATCCTGGAGGCCACTGATGATGATTCCCAACTTGATCGTGTCATCAAGCTGCTTGCCTGTCTCGGCCCCGTAGCGGCGGACAAGTTGTTAGAAGAAGGGGATCTCCGCTTCAATGTCAAGGCGCCCACAAAACGGCTGGCCAATCGGGGCCCGTACTCACTGACCAGCTTGCGGGACACCTCGAACCCATTTCCAAGGTCGCATTTTGGACGATGTCCTGGGCTCGACCCTGGAGTAACATCACCAACGTATAAAACAGCTGCATGGAGAGGCCTGCATTTGCTGCTGCTGGTCCGGCTCCATTCTCTGGGCTGCTCGGCGTCAAAGTCTGGTTCGTTGCCGTTGTAAACCATGCCTGGCGGGCTCTCGGCCTCCTCTTCGTCCTCCTCAGTTGCCTTGGCCTTCGCAGCAATCCTTAAGGCTTGCTCAGCACGTGCCTCCTCCACACGGCCACACGCCTCCTGATGAAAATCGACGAAGTACTCGCTGACGGACCTCAGGCCTAAAATTTTTCACGCGCTCGTCACAACTCGAGCAGGCTTCGTCGAGACCTTCTCGATGTCTGATGGCTTCTCCAACTGATCCTTTCGGCAGCCACTTGGTAGGGCTCGGCACGCTCTAAAGCTCGCCTCACCCCAGGGTTTTGCTGGCCCTTGTAAGCTTCTCTTTAAGCTCACCGGCCCTCAGTCACGTTCCTGGGAACGGACCGAAACCTCAAAGGTCCAGGTTCTCTAGCCACAGGCTTCAAAACCACTCTCGGGTTGTGGATCCTCGGTTTCTTCCTTCTTCTCTCCTTCTTCCACTTTTCTTTTCCTTCCTGTCTCTCACGGGCCTCAGAGCGCCCCTTTCCAAAAGAATGCGCTGGCCCAACCTGGAGCCAGCTGCAGCTGCTTGGTTTCTGCTGCGGTGTAGGTAAGGACCACGCGCCGTGACCTTCCTCCACGGCCCCTTGCCGGTATTAAGCCCAAGGCCGAGGGCTCAACGGCTACGTCTTCTGAACTCTCTTCTGCCGTTTCTGGCAGAGGCCAATCTCTTGGCGTGGCCGCGTGTTACGCGGCGGTCAGTTGCCTCAGCGCTCCTTGTCCCACGTTTGTGCTTCTTCTTCTTCTGGACAAGGGGCTTTCCTTTGCCTTCACCCTTGTCCTTCTTGGGCGCCGCTGTGTCTACGGTCCCGGAGGTGCCCAGCTAGCCCGCAACTCCACCTGCGGGGCGACCCGCAAGGTGGTCCACTCGCGGTTCTACCCGCAGAGTGGTGAACCCAAGGCCTCTTAGACCAAGGGCTCCGCTACCATGCAAGGGTTTGACGGTACCCTTAAACCACAGGTTCGCACACCGCTCAAGCTAACTTTTGCGCCTCGCTTGAGCTGGAAGGGGCTGCATGAATGTACCTCAATGCGCATGGGTCAGGAATAGGCTATACATCCTAACAAGCAGGCATATGGACACTGCCCTGGCAGCAAGATTGATAGGGGTCCTGTTGTGCCACCAGGCTACCATCCTCCGGATCGAACATGAAGGTGCCCCCAAAGAAGCTCTGGGCCATCAGCGCAAAGACGCAGAGGATCAAGAAGAGCCTCTCTGACAAAAGCCAGTTCAGCACTGCGGAGCTGCGGGTGTTCGCTCGGGTTCGTGCAGTGCCACGAAGTCTCCCATGCTCATCAGCGTCTTGACGCCCGCGCTTAGGAGGATCTGGCCCAAAGCTATGAAGCAAGGAGACGATGTCTAAGTGTAGGAGATTCCCCAAACCAAGCTTTACCCCACTTGGCTGTGAAAGGTGAAGTGAGCTGGGGCCTTCATGCTGGGAAACTTCTTGGCCAGCTTGAAGATGCGCAGCATGCGGAACCTCAGCGGTTCTCTGCGGATCTGCTGCACTAGCAATAGTGGCAACCTCTTTGCATGGAGTTTAGTTTAGCTGATGATCAGATGCACAAGCTTTGGAAGGATTGTAGAGTCGTAGAGGGGTTTCGGGTGCCCTGAATGTCACTATACAGGGTCTGTGCTGCATGAAAGGCAGAGGCTAGCAGTTAGCAGCTAGCAGCGGCTCTGAGTTACGATTCTGGTGTTTGAATTGTTGGCTACTGTCTCAGCATCGTTCCACCTGCTTCCAACGCGACGCAAGGCAAGGCCTGCAGGAAATAGGCAACTGAACCTTTGCATCCTCGAGGTCGCGGCGCTCGCAGGGCCGTGATAGCAGAACCGCCGCCATCTGGAAAAGGAGCGGGAATAAGTCTGCTGGAGAGGAGGGCAGGGGGAGCCGTTGCCGTATCTGAACGCAACCGTCACTTTTCGTCACCGCGCCAAATCCACCACCAGCGCCTGGCGCCCAGGGCCAAAGAGACAGGAGACCAGATACCTCAGAGGTCTAACTGCCTCTTCTCGGATCCAATTGCCAATTCTTCTGAACATAACTTGCCGAAGGCTCGTGTCGCTGACGGAGGCGGCATTAATAGACACGGTACCCTTGGCTTCAGCTCGCTGAAATTGCCAAAGCATAGGCATCACTGCCAGTACGGCACAGTACATGCCAGTACTTGAGATCTGTGTACTTTGTGGTGAGGCTGTTGGATGCTGTTGGTATTCAGCATGCATTTCGAATCAATCGCATAACATGTGCACGGATCCTGCTCCCAAAGCCTGTCATAAGGAATGATCGCTCTTGCGAGAGCACAGACTTGCTTAGGCAAGATGCGCCATCAGGATCTGGGAAGATGCCAGTGTCCTTGCAAGAGCGCTACAAGCAAACCAGCTTTCGGCTAAATGGCAAGGGCGCAAAGACCGCATCCAAGGTACAGAGTGGACGTGCCCAAAGACATGCAGCTTCGGCCGCTTGGATTGCACGGCCTCACGAAGCGACGAAGCGGGAGCTGACGAAGCCATTCAGACAGAAACCCTCTCGCAGTCTCGCGTTTGGACGCGGACCTTTGCCAAGAAGGGGCAGCCCACGTGCTCTCCATTGTCCAGGCCTACAGCACTTCAAGGCAAGTTACTCGACCAAGCCCAGTCCTGTTCGCCAAGCGACGATCCCCGGTGCCGAAGGGTGGCATGTGCGTTAGAAGTACCTCAGACTCAGAGAATTCCTGACCGGAGGCAAAAGAGCTACCAAGGAATCCCAGCTCTGCCGCGTCACATCCGAGTCCGGAAGGCACGCCCAGCAAGCCTCCATATCGGCAGACTTCTGGTTGAAGGCTGTCACCCAGTCATGTCCTTGAGTTACCCAAGGCGAGCCGAAGAATCTAAATCCTTGAACCGTGGTGGTCTGGTCGATGAGCACCTCAATATTCTTTGATACAAAGGCCCACATCGCCTCGTCATGGGATTCCTTGACTTCTGACCAGTCGCTCCAGTAGGATTCATAGTAATTTGCATCCATGATCATGTCGTGATTTCCAGGCACGACAATTTTCTTAGGATGCCTTTGGTCGGCCATCCAACTTGCGAATTGCTGCACTTCCGCAAGGCTGCCGTGATTTGTGAAGTCGCCTTCCAAGGTTCAAGGAACTTGCTACGTCACTCGCATCTTCCTGCTCGGATATATGGCCTGCTTCTAAAGGTAAGCCAAGCCACCGCAATGGACCAGCACGTCTCCGTCTGGCCTTCAATAATTTGAGTCAGTAGAAGATATGCTAGCAGGATGCCGTGTAGGATGCCGTCTCTTGGAGACTTTGAAGCTAAGCAGCAGAGGTGGCAGCTTGCCGTGGCAAAGGTGCGTGTCACTAATGCAGACGATGCGGAGCGACTTCTCCGATTGAGAGCTCAGGGATGTAGGCACCGAGCCGATAGAGTAGAGCTGGAAGAACACTTCCTCTCAGTCAAGAACAACTTTAACAACACATCTGCTGCGCACACCCTCCACATGCCTTCCAGGACCTCCGGGCCCGGCGTGCTTGCACCAGGTCGTAGACGAGCCATGGGGCCAAAGCGGTCTTGGCTACCAGAACCGTTCGCAGCAGTATACCGTCGCGGATACGATTCCTTCCCACCAAACGAACGAGCCGCCCATTCGTCAGAGGGCTTCTACCGGATGCGGGCGAGCGCTCTTCGCCAGCCTCCTGCATCCTTTCCCTCAGATCGCCTATCTAGTCCATCTACAAAAGCTGAAAAAAGCTGCAAACCATGCGACAGAGGCAGGACGAAGCTCAAAAATGAAGAGCGCTAAAGCAATTAGGCAAGGAGGGCGGCTGCCTGCGCCCGAAGCTACGTCGTTCAGGATGTCGGCAACGGAGAGCGCGACGATGACGCCGTCGAAGGCCATGGCCTCAACATCAAAACTTGCCCTTCGGCCCAGCTGCGTTACGAATCAGTTGGGTTCTGGGCATTGTCTTGCCAGTAGACCAGGGGCCCCAAAGCCAAGTGCAGAATGATGCACCTTCAGCACATGACCGTCACACTTGCAGTCTGAAAAAAGCGCAGAGATTTAGGGTTTATATAATAGTTTCCATTTTCTTTTCCATTATCCTTATATAACCCAAATATATACCCTGTAATCCCTATATAATCCCAGTATAATTCTTTGATATTCACAGGTCTCTTTACCCAATTTTATGGCTCCAGCTCCAGCAGGAAAACAAAGTTGAAGATGTAGTTCAGAACCTAACCAGCTGACATAGCAGGTTTGGTCTCGCTTTCTTAAATCAGGAGGTGTGACTCGCAGAGGGGAGAAAGATAGGATAGACCCATTGCAACATTGCACTCAACTTTCTCAGCCCAGGATTAAGAGCTCCGCGTTGGAAGTCTAGTCTCCCGGTATATCTACATGATGACGTACTTCAGTGCTTACGATGGGGACTCCATTCTGGAAAGCTTCAAGGTGTCTGCTCTGCAACACACTTTGCTCAGCTCTCTTTGCTCCGCACATCGCCGACAGAGGACTCGACCAGGTGCTGGCAGAGTTTCAGGGGTGAACGGGCCAAATCAATGCCAACGATGAAAGATGTTTTTGCAAATTTGTGTCTTCTCGCTTGGGTGGCTACATCGTGGCGATTGCACTTTTATAGGAGGGGCGGGAGGACTGCACCTCCGGGTAGCGGTCCATAGCCAGCACCTGACATCGAGCACCACACGGCAACAAACCATGCGGGTCCTCAAACGGCTGGTGCGTATTGGCGGTCCCCCGTATGTGCATGCCAACAATTTGGGAGCTGCCCCTTCCCGATGTCCGACCAGCACGTTGATCAGGATCATGGCCATGACGCATGCATTGAAGAAGGTGTTCGTGGCCTAAGAAGAGAAGCAGTTTGGCTGCTCAGTTGTCGTTTTCAAACTGAGGGTCGACGATGATTCGTGACCATCGGACCACCTTCCACGAGCTTTCCTCACGCCTTCAAGCAGGCCAGCTGAACGGGCTCAACGACCACAACTGCTGGGCCCCCAACAGCACGTCTTCTGGGTCGATGAGATTCCGTGTGACGATGAGGTGCCTCAGAAAGTCCTGTAAACCAATCCTATCAGCTTCGATCTTGTCACCCTGTTATTGCGCTGACTTCTGTTGCCAGTAAACACACAAGAGGACAAGCACATTCTCTGGTGGTCCTTGCAGCTCCGCCGCTCGACATTGGCACCTCATGGGCTCAAAACTCCGAGAGCTGGGAGAAGCCAGGGACAGCAGCAGAAGCCGAACATGAGGACTAGGACTCGTGGAATCCCAACCTCACTGTGATGAGCACCGAAGGCTTGTTTCAAGCTGTTACGCCCTTCGCAGATTGTGTCTTGCGGTTTACATAGATCACGAATGGTCACATGCTGTACGTCAAGACTTTACGTGCTTCGCTTTTCTTCTTTCATTGGTAGAATCATATGCACCGCCAGACAATTGCGAGTGCTTCTGCTTGATATCCTCCAAACATAGCAAAAAACATGAAGAAACGCGCGGAAAGGCTGTTCTTCCTATCCAGCGCATTCTCCTCAAGCTTCCAGAGCCGGCCACAAGGTTTCCTTCCGGTTTAAAGCATGTCTTGAGTCCCATGCCAGGTTTAAAGGAAGCCTCGCACCGCAACCTTCTTGACGTGCAATTTACAATTAACTTCTGCTAAGAGTCCATCATGGGCCGTAAATAGCAGTTGATTTCCGGCGGCGGCTCGGCCCTGCAAGTTACCGAGTCCAACTTTCAACATGCGCCCTTTTGAGGTTCATAGCTTCTAGCTGCACGCAATGAATCTCGTTTGGCTCACGGAAGGCTTAACGGCCGTGGCCCGTTCGGTCCAGGGTCTGGCTGACTGGGCACACCCCTCAGTAGAGAGTGCAGAGAAGACTTCTTATTTATGTCATTGAATCTCTTCTTTAAAGTCTCTACTGTAAGACCGGAGTTCTACCAGAGGGGCTTTCGTTCGTTTGGCTTTGCGTTCAGGGCGGCAAAAAATCATGCTTCAGGTGCATGCTCCCGCGTATGCTTTCAGATCTTGCTTCAAATGCGAGACTAATTAATGCGGGAAGCACAGAAGGAACATCATGATCATCTCACGCACAAACATCTTAAAAACCTGTGACCAAGCCGCGTTGCTGCATGTCACTGTGCAAAGTCCTAGAAATACAGGGATAGGCAGATTGAGTTTACCACGAATGGCACGTAAGGCGCGAATATTTCCTCCCGAGGCCCGCACGCTGCTCGGCCAAGGTCTGGCAGGGGCAGAGAAGATCATAATTTGCAGCTGCAACACAGTGACAGACGCATTGGGAATCCCAGAGACTTGCCACGCCCGTACTCAGGCGTCTGGACACTGGTGCTTTCTAGGACCCCTTATGAACTTGATGCCCTCTAGCTTGCGCTAGGTTTTCGTTCAGATTTCCTCCCTGTGGTGTGACGAGTCAGGGCTGGATGGGCAAGGCATGCCAGTGCCCCTTGCCGCACAGTCGTTTGTGAACAATTCACTCCAAACTTCCGCGCTGCAGTCTTTTACGCCCTGCTTGGATGTTTGGGAGGGCCAGTTCTTGTGGGCTGAGTCCTTGATGCTAGCATCAGCCATGAAAGCCCTCAGCTATGGACTTTAGCTGACTATGTGCTACAACATCTGACCTTTCCAAGTGGCAGAAAGCCCCATGAGTAAGGAATGGGCAACCAAGCAAGCTCAAGGTTCCTGGACTGGGGCAAGCCAAAGCCTTTGTATTTGCAAACGCGGCTGAGAAAGCCCGGTCCAAACAGACTTGACGGCGTACATTGAGCCAAGCTGGCAACAAGAAATCCTTTATTTATGAATCCAAAACCGTGAACCCCAAACGCCTGAACCCTTCTCACCCGCCTGGAGCTGTACATCCTCCGAAATGGCACGTTCAGCCTCGGCCTCCTCCAGGTGTCAGGGAAGATAAGCTCTCAGAACAGCAGAACAACAGTGACAGAATCATGCAAGCCCAGGATTGTCTCCAAATGATCCCAATTCCTGAAAAGGAAACTCCCATAATCCTTGCGTGACTCCTATATATCCCACCCTGAAACGAGCCAAACTTGGACATTGCGGCCTCTTCCTCTTTCTCCTGCAGCTGCTTCTCTCGGACCTCAAGGCGATAAAAGCGTCACAAGAAGCACTTCCAACAATTAGGGGTCCCGTCTGAGAGTCCCGATAACAAGGATTATGGCATTTTAGGTGTTTTAGGTGGGTCCTTCTCTTTATGCAAACTACAGCATAATGGCGCAGTATTGCTGCAATCCATCAGACACTCTGAAACCATGCACAAGCGCGCTCTCAAGAAATTCGAGCTGTAGTAGATAGAGAAACGAAGCGGCAGAAAAAAGAAGACTGTAAACCCCAAACCCTAAACCATTTGCTGTCCTCTCAGCCTGGGCACACTGAGGAAGACGTCCTGAGATGCTCCGCGGGAACAAGAACGTGAGCACTGATAAGTGTCATGAATCCTATGACAAGCCTGAGCACCCCATGAAATCCTTGAAGCATCTGCTAAAAGGATCGAGGGTGGTTGGAGAAGCTATTGCACGCCAAGCATCCCAGATGATAGCCAAGATGACGTTCACTAGAAAGAAGGCACCTAGCAAGCAGGTGTTCTCAAAACTACCTTTTGTGATCTTGAAACTAGTGATAGTCATAGTAATGTATACTAATGCAAATAACAATAAAAACAGTATAAAGAAGTCTATACTAGTCCTGAAACAGAAATAGCGTAATGAATGGTACTAATTCTCAGATTTGGGGGGGGATTTGGGGCCGGGGCCAAAGACAATCAGCAGGAGGAAGTAGACGAAGCCCACCACTGTGGATTGGGCATCCTTCCCAACAGGCTCTGCAATGCAGGGCTTCAGAGCCCTACAATCCCTCAAATCTCTAAAGCCCATACACTGTAAAACTACACGCCGTAAACTTGATATTATCCTAAGTTCTTGAAGTTTCTCCTGCACGAAGGCCATGATGTCGGACCAGCCCTCAAGGGTGACGCTCTGGAAGACCACCAGGAAGGCCGCCGCGACCTCGGAGCAACACATGCACGATTTATCACAACATCAACTTCCGTCTGCCAAGACTTCTATCCTTGGCGATAAGTACGAGTGCTACTTTGATATAATACAGAGAGAAACGCTGGATTCTCTAGTCCCCTCAGCTTTCATTGCCCTTCCTTTTGCTGCTCTGTGAACTGTGGTTCCCGACGTTGTCGAAGTGCGTGATGCCCCAGTTCCTCCCTTCACCGGTGACCTTTGCTGGCTCCCGGCGCATGGAACTTGACATTGAAGCCCATTGGCCTCCTTCTCCCAGTGGTTCAAGTTGACCCCCGCCAGCTCAGGGTTTGCCACCTGAAAGCATCGCAGTCATGATAACAATAATCGCAATAACAAAAACAGTGACATCTTTATTCATGAAGCCTGAAACGTTGTGCACTCGGAGAACGGGGACTCCCAACTTGCTGTCATGCAGCCGCCCACGAACAGTAAGTAAGCACCGTTTGGCAGCGTGTCGAAACAGTCTAGGCTCGTGTCTCTTGCACGTACTAATAATATTCATCATAATAGTAACAATACGTATAGCAAAGAAAAACCACTTGTAAAGATAAAAAGATAAGAATACCAATAGTTTCAATGAAATTGATAATAAGCAGCCGGGGAAAAGCGGTTGGTTTGCTTCCGCCTCCGGGCCGAACTCTGGATCACTGGCCAAAGGGGAGCCGCAGAAGGTGAGAACCTCGTGGGCTGCAAAAGTATCCCTAAGGACTTACTGGGGGGTGTTAGGAAATAAGGGAATTCATATAGGATCTGGGGTTTAGAGCGTAGGGTTTAATTTTTAGGCTTAATAGGGAAATGAGGGAATATAGAGGTCATGTATAAGGCTATATTTACAGAAAGGACTGTGCAGGTCCACGTAACACGCTATTTTCTATATGAAATACGGTAACAACTGGAAAATTATCGCCAAAAACTCTTGCAGAAACTGGGCTGAAAAATTGGTGAGGAAAATCTGGAAAGCTCCTAGCACATGGGCTATATTCTAGAACGCAAGGGTGCTGTTCTAGAACGGAAGTCGTTTGTAAAAATGATATTCCAATAAATTGGGGGTCTGGAAAGACGCTGCAAACCAAAAAGCACTAAAAGCAAAGGCATTAAATTTCTCCAAACCTAGACCATTCTTTGTTGTTTGTTGGTTTGTTCTTTTTTTGATTGTTTCTGTTGTCTGTTTCAGTTTTCTGCAGCCCCAGGACTACAGGACTGGAGTTGTTGTTGTTGTTGTGGTTTTTGCCATTTTCCGTTTGAGCCTTACGTTTTTCCCATTTTCGCTTACTACACGCCTAGACATCGTCTTGTTTTGATGTCGGTTTTCGTTTTACGTATTGTTCCTTCCATTTACGCTTGCTACAGACCTAGATGCGTCTTGCTTTGATATTATTTTGAAGTGATCCTTTAATTCGAGAGCGGCCCCCGTGCTCTAGCACACTTTTTGTCGAACTTATCGATTTTTTGTGATATGGCCGTTGTTGCATATTCATTTTTTTGAAGAGAAGAGAGGAAAGATCCCTTTTGAACACAGGCTTGGTCCTACACAGGGCCTTATACATAGCGTATTATGTAAACGTAAAAAGGCCAGTCTTAATCTACAGGACGGAACCTTCCCCGTATGGGGATTCAACTCGAGCTCCCATTGGTTCTGTTGAATTTCGATGGGGTAAAAAAATGCAAGGAACTGGAGCTCCCACTTCTCTCAAGTCAATTCTATTTTTCTTGTATCTTTATTGTCGAGAAGAGAAACTTCAATTTCTTTCGAAAGAGGAGAAGTTGGTGTTACTGGTGGCCTGATTGAAGGGTTGTTGGTTGGCTTGGGCTTCAAAACTTGACAGTAATACAGTTAAAGCGTTCCAAAAATATAGCGTGAAACAAATCAAAAAGGTATGTCTTATGAAACACAATGTTTTTGGGGAATCTGATTTGCATATGGGTGAAAGAATTTTACATTTGGTATGCTCCTTCTCCACGGTCTTAATATGCAAAAGGCTTTAAAGTTAGTTCTTTGCGCCAGAATCTGAATATATCAATGCCTGTATTGCGAAAGCTAGAGGGATTGGTATTACTCTTCTAAAGCCCCAAGAGCAACCCTAATCTGCACCAGCTTCTTAGCACCAGCTGCCAGAATCGCTCAAGGGCCCTGTTAGCCACATGCAGTATGGATCATGGATGCACAAGCCATGGGCAAACCCAGCTTTCACATGGATATAATTTCTTTGTCGCTTGGACATCCGGGATCCTGCCTAAACAAGCTGACCAAAACTTGTGGAGTGCGAGGGAGCCCAGAGTAGGGTTTCTCTAAGGCTCGGATATCTTCATCCTTCTCAAGCAACCTCCATTCGCTTCGGTTCCTTTCCAGCAGGAACTTGCCAGCGGTGGTCCTAAAAGGAAAATCCTTCGCGGACTTACGTGGCTCAGGGCTTCTGAAGGAACGGGCTCCTAGTGCAACCTGTACACACACTTGCTTGGGAGCACTTCCTATCCAATGCCACCCAGGCTTAGAACCAAAGTTCTCTAGGTAGCGCCTCAGTTCACGATGCTCCGCCTTCAACTCTTCGCCAGGGAGCTGTTCGCCACCTTCAAGAAGCGCAGGAGGTTCTTTTCTGGACTTGACCTTCTGCTTTACGAACTCCGTATTATATTCTATGGACCACGTTCCACTGCACAAGACTCGACGCAAGTGGCTGCAGTCCATCGCCTTTGTTCCGGCGTCTACAAACATGTTGGCCGTATCGGTCCAACGTATGGAGGTCAGAGGACGCCGAAGGAGCTGCCTCAGAAGCGCCAACGTCAGAACCAACGACTTCTGAGCCCCGAAACCGGTGTCCTTGGAGACGCGATCAAAGGTGTCCTTCGCGTCGGTCACCACCGTCAACGGTACCGCACACACTGTGTAGTGAGCGCCAGGGGCCAGGATGTCGATCCCTCTTGCTTCTGCAACCATCGCTCTCACGAGTTCAGCAGCATCCAAGGATTCTTCGACTCCGAAGGTTTCCGCTCCGTGGGAAGACCGGCACACCCGCTGTAGCTTGTGTGACCTAAAACTAAAGTCCAAGACGTTGAACACGGACCTCTTTCCGTTCACCAACTCAGGTCCTCCAAGTAGGACGCAGTAGCAACTCTGACTGAACAACTTAGGCTCTTCCACGCTTCCATCAGAGTTGACGTTGTCCAAGGCGGCGTCTGAGACGGCCACAAGACCACCTTCGAGCCAGTTCGTGTGACGAAAGGTGAGGACGAAGTCGGGGTCGCCCTTCAAGTCTCTTGCCAGGCTACAGGCTTTGAGCAACGTGGCCACTGTTGGCTTAGCAACTTGCACTTCGCAAAGTTGGAAGGCAACATCACACCTCAGCTGGGCAACCAGCCATTGGAGGGAACCATTTAGGGCGCGAAGCTCCCGCAGCTCCTTTTGGTTTAAGGCCCTCCCGAGGTCCTCTCTCGCCTCCCTAGACACTACAGGGATCTGGAGGTTCCGGTGATACTTGTGCATATCCACCGTGATCTCAGACGGGTGCTTGCGCAAGTTCTTCCCGCAGAAGGTGAACTTACTTTTCTCTATGCTCCCAAAACCAAGTTCTTTTCCAATCTCCTCGAAGCTGGCGATCGCGCTGGAGCCACCTGTGACAAGGATGTCATCCACGTGAGTGAGCATCACTCCTTCCCAGGCCCCGTCCGGGCTCCACTTGTAAAAGAGAGCACCGTCAACGCGCGAAGGCGTCCAACCCTTGCTTTTAAGGGTTCGAAGGAGATGTTCGTACCAGGCTCTAGGAGAATCGGCTAAGCCGAAGACCCTCCTGACCTTGAAAAGAATCCCGGGCCTCACTGGCAACGCGGGGCCTCTTTTGCGGCTCGGCTGTTCCATGAAAAGGAGTCGTGTGACATACGGGTCGCCCTTTAGAAAGGTGGCTCGTACATCGCCGCTTTGAAGCGCCCACTCAGGCCTAGCACTGATGGCGAGCAGTAGATGTAAGGCCAACCTACTGGCTGTGGGGGCGTCTGTCCTCAACTGGCCTTCCAAGAGAGCGCGGTCACGGAATCCGGGTACGACTAAGCGGGCGTTCGGTTTTGGAGGGAGATTGTTTGAGGACGTTCGGAGAGGAGCGTTCTTATCCGTCAGGACAAAGCGCGGGGTGAGCAAACTCCCTCCTTGATCTCCTCTCGAATCTTGTTAGATTGCGGTTGAGAACGCAGTTCTCAACCCACTTCTCCCACTGCTCCAAAGCCGCAGTTTGGTAGCTTTTTCTTTCTTCCTCAGTCATCTTGGACCAGTTGAGCTCCTTGCCAACACTTGCCAGCAGAACGTCAAACGCAGCAGCATCCAGTTTCATGAGCCTACCCTGGCTGCACAGCAACTGCCGCACAACCTCAGGAGGAGTCTCCCAGGAACCAGACCAAGAGCCATTAGGGGGCTCGAACCAAACTCCCTCAGCTCGGTCCTTTTCCACGTCAGAGGCCAACTGATACAATGGGCGGCGCAGCTCCTGGCTAGCAGCCAACACATTGATCGTCCTATCCCCGAGCTGCAGAGGTACGAAGGAGTTACTTCCCGGAGCACCTGGCTGTGCTTCCTGAGGAGGCTCTACCAATGAAGGTTCGACGGGCGAGTCCTCTGTCTCAACCGCATATCCAGTAGTATGTTCAGGGATGGCTCCTAAGCGCGCTTCGCTTGAAGCTGCAGGTTCCTCAGTCGGTCGCGAGGCTTCCTGTTGAGGAGCTTCACCGGGATGAGCCCCTTCCGAGCTTAAGCGCTCGACCTCTTCCTGCTCAACAGACTGTGACCGTGCTGGCCCCAACCTTGTCCTGAGAGTAAGGAAGACCGACGGGAGTTACTAGGCTCGGAACTCTCAGCCGGGACAGGGACAGGGAGAACGTACACGTCATCCCTCCTGCGTCGCTGTTACCTCGGGCGCTGGCACAGCAGCCTCGGCCTCTTCCGGTTCCTCAACTGGACGCTGCTCAGAGGGGATGCCAGACACTTGGGCAATCTCCTTCAGGGCCTCTTCCCAATCCGTCACCAACAGTCTTTCAAGAGAAGATGCCCGACGGATATGCTCTGCACCTACCTTCGTAACCGAACCCTTATAGGTGACGTAATAGGAGGTAGGTATCCCTTGGCTTTTCTCTCACTGAATGATGGATGTCCAAGAAATCACATGCTTCAGCACAACTGTGGGCAGTAAACTCAGGTCCAAGGTCCGAAACCAAGATTTTAGGAGCACCGTAGGTCTTGCAGTACTCGTTTAGCGACTGCACCACCTCCTCAGCGGTCTTACCTGTAAGAAAACAACCTTGGCGCCTCGTAGCCAAGTCCAAAATGAGTAACCCAAAATACTTGACCGGCGCCATCCTTGATCGTCAGCATAACTTAAACCCTATCAAAAGGCTGGGTGACTCGTGGCAGGGGCTTGGCCGGCCTTGTACGAGGGCGGCGGGCGGCTGTTCTCCTTACACACGTCGCTCTGAAGTTGTAAAGCGGCTTTAACCGCTTCAGGTGGCGGTAAAGCTCCTTCCCTGAGCCGTCTCAGCCGCAAGTTTCAAAGTATCCAAGGACGCTCGGTTCTGAGCTCCTGGAGAGCCTCTGTGGGTAAAGGAAGGCCATTTCTGTTCATATTTGATCAATCACCAACTTTGTGGAGGAACATCCTCAAGCGCAGCTTCTCCAAGTTTGGCGGGGTGCTCCTCACTAAGAATGGCTTCGCGCTAACGAATATAGGGTGGCTAAAGAAACACAAGGGCCAGATCAAGACCCTGGAGGGTGGCCCCCTGTACGAGCGCCTTGTGAAGACGTTGGAAGATGCCTTTGACAAGAATGCGGAGCACGGGGCTATCGCCATGGAAGATGGTGAGGCAGTGATTGAGGATGAGGAGCTGGAAGATGAGGACTTCCAGGAAGAACTGGCCGGCCCAGAACCTAGCAAGGAGCTAAAGCGGTTGGTGATGAAAATGCACCAAAACACTGGACATTGTTCAAGGCGCAGATTAGCCAGAGCCTTGACATAAGAATTTGGGTCATCCTAGTCCAGAGCGTTTAGCAGCGCACCTACAAGCTCAAAATGCTTCCCCGCACATCATCGCCGGATGCCGTGACTTCGTCTGCGACACCTGTGCTGAATCTGTGCAAGCGCGCCATCAGAGACCAGCTCAACTTCACGATGACCTGGATTTTAACCACAGGGTTGGACTAGATGGGTTTTTCTTCAATAGCCGGTCTGGGCCCCAAGTCTGATTATTGTCTTAGGGTACATGGATCCCCGGTTAACAGAGGTTGCCCGAGACTCCCCCACGCTTTCTAGAGAAGGTAGAGCAATAGTCCTGCAAACTATTGCTAGCATGCGGTGGAAACTTCGTTCGTTCGACATTAAAACCGCATTTTTGCGAGGAAAGGCGGATGAAAAGAATCCTCTGGCTATGGCTATGGAACCTTCAGAGGAGCTTCGCAAACTGCTTGGTCTAAGCTCGGATGAGGTATGTGCCTTACTGGGTAATGCCTATAGTCGCGTGGACGCTCCGTTGCTCTTTTATCGCGAGCTGAGCAAACAGCTCCTGTCTTTGGGTTTCCGGCATCACCCGCTTGACCCCTGTATCTTTCTCCTTGAAACCTATGAACAGGGTCAGCGCCGTCTCCGAGGTGTCCTCGGGACACACGTTGACGACGGCGTCTGTGGAGGGGACGCCTTGTGTGAGGAGAAAATTCAGCAGTTGAAGTCCCGACCCCTTTTTGGGAGCGAAAAACAAACTTCCTTCCTGTTCACGGGAATTTGTCTAGAAGAATTACCGAGCCCAACCCAGTGTGTCCACTGATTTGGACATGGCGTAAGCCTGTGCAGAGATCGTGGACCGTGCAACACGGGAAATCTTTTTGCAGGCCCAAACTATAAGGGGGACAGTGGGGCCTGGACATTGTTTGAAAGATCAGTGGTGGTTGCTGCGATAACGGCGCCCTGCAGCGACCGGAGATCGCGCTTGCTTGCAAAAGCAGCATCGCCGAACGATACGAACGTGATGAGTTTAGGATCCCACGATTTGAACGTGACAGAGACCTGTGAGTGCTCCTGCGCCTCTCTCAGTGTGCAATTGGCTTCGAGGAGCGTTTGCGCAATGCCACGAGCAATCTGTCCCTGCACTTCAGCTAGGCGGGCTGAAATGTCCGGCCTTGTGTGGGTGACGGCGTATTGGAGGCTCCCAACTAAACCAAACCCCTAAGGCTCGATGTCTCAGACGATGTTAACGGACTGGAAGATCTGTTCTACGAGCACAGGGTATGTCAATGGGGGGTATATGATTTAGGTATTCCCGCTGGGATGCCCTGATGGAGAAGTCCGGGCTCTTTGGGGGCGCATACATGTCACAGATTTCCGATGGGACGATCCTCAGCAGGGTTTCCAATCTCTAAATGCTGCCCTCATCATTACCGATTGTAAGTCCCTTTTCGATCTAGTGACTCAAACCGCAACACCATCATGTGAGGAATTCAGAACAACCCTTGAGGCGCTGCTCATTCGGCAGCGCTGCCAGGAGCATTGTACCTTTAGGTGGGTCCCCACAACCTTGATGCTGGCCGACGGGCTAACAAAATGTATGTCCGTAGACCTATTAAGAGAGGTTCTAAGTCTGGGTTCCTTCAAATTACATGACGGAGGGCAAGAACTGAGCAGGACTGCTCATCGCAAGGCTGCGCTTGGATGGTTGCAGAGTCGGCAAGGCGCAAAGCAAGATCGGGGCTAGGAGCAAAAATGTACAGGAGTGTGAAATCGCACTCGTCAGGTCCCGACTGCTGGAAGCTCCTTGCCCCGATGCTCCCAGGCTCAAAGGGAGGGACAGGGTAGAGGTGCCTTGAAGCCACACCGATCGACACTGCGGGGCGGTGGAGAAAAGCTGAACGTGGGACGTTCTTTCTGGGAACGACACAGGGTGTCCATTCGTTATCTTGAGATATCATTTCGGGAACAGGGCTTTCCGAGATTCATCTTCAGATATTCCATCAGGTTTGGGAAACCTTCGAAGTCTTCTTCAGAGCTGCGAGGCCGGGATCTCTTTCACACGGGCTTCAGGTTTAGGGTTAGGGTTGTAGGGTATAGGGTTCAGGTTTTACGGTTTTAGGGTTTTAGGTTTCGGGTTTAGGGTTCAGGGTCGTGGGTTCAGGTTTTAGGGTTTAATTTTTTTTTAAGTGCAATGGCTCCAAGGTTTAAGGTGTAGGGTTTACAGTTTAGGGCTTAGGGTTTAGGGCTTGGGGTTTAGGTTCAGGTTTTACGGTATCAGGGTTTAAGGGTTTAGGATTTAGGGATTAGGGTTTAGGGGTTTAGGGTTTAGGGTTTAGGTTCAGGTTTTACAGTTTCAGGGTTTCAGGGTTTAGGGTTGTGGGCTCAGGTTTTTGGGTTTTAGGGTTTAGAGTTTAGAGTTTGTTAAAAAAATGCAATGGCTCTAGGGTTTAGGGTTTACATTTTAGGGCTTTAGGGTTTAGGGTTTAGGGTCTCGAATCTGCATCCACTGCAGCAATTCTGCTTCGAAACACACCTACAAGCGCACACTCGACGCATTGCACACTCGATGCCTCCCCCAACTCAACTGCATGTGTCTAGCCATGGCCCTACGCTGCTGCTGCCGCTGTATGTTGCTTGCGCCCTCTGCCTCGCCTACAGGAAGCTTCGGACATTCAAAAACCACAAGACGAGGTCGCTCCTGTTCAAGTTTCTCAGCAAGACAACGTTGATAGTTGATACTTATAGTGTCAAGCAAATCTCCAGGCATATGTCTCCCCAACTTGCGACAGAGATTGACATTGTACTTCTGATCGGGCTTGTGGTCGCTCGAGGTTGCCACGCGCTCGCTCAGGTTCTCCCACGAGCCCTGCGACTCTGCCAC